TATATATATATACACTCACCGGCCACTTTATTAGGTACCCCATGCTAGTAACGGGTTGGACCCCCTTTTGCCTTCAGAACTGCCTCAATTCTTCGTGGCATAGATTCAACAAGGTGCTGGAAGCATTCCTCAGGGAGTTTGGTCCATATTGACATGATGGCATCACACAGTTGCCGCAGATTTGTCGGCTGCACATCCATGATGCGAATCTCCCGTTCCACCACATCCCAAAGATGCTCTATTGGATTGAGATCTGGTGACTGTGGAGGCCATTTGAGTACAGCGAACTCATTGACATGTTCAAGAAACCAGTCTGAGATGATTCCAGCTTTATGACATGGCGCATTATCCTGCTGAAAGTAGCCATCAGAAGTTGGGTACATTGTGGTCATAAAGGGATGGACATGGTCAGCAACAATACTCAGGTAGGCTGTGGCGTTGCAACGATGCTCAATTGGTACCAAGGGGCCCAAAGAGTGCCAAGAAAATATTCCCCACACCATGACACCACCACCACCAGCCTGAACCGTTGATACAAGGCAGGATGGATCCATGCTTTCATGTTGTAGACGCCAAATTCTGACCCTACCATCCGAATGTCGCAGCAGAAATCGAGACTCATCAGACCAGGCAACGTTTTTCCAATCTTCTATTGTCCAATTTCGATGAGCTTGTGCAAATCGTAGCCTCAGTTTCCTGTTCTTAGCTGAAAGGAGTGGCACCCGGTGTGGTCTTCTGCTGCTGTAGCCCATCTGCCTCAAAGTTCGACGTACTGTGTGTTCAGAGATGCTCTTCTGCCCACCTTGGTTGTAACGGGTGGTTATTTGAGTCACTGTTGCCCTTCTATCAGCTCGAACCAGTCTGGCCATTCTCCTCTGACCTCTGGCATCAACAAGGCATTTCCGCCCACAGAACTGCCGCTCACTGGATGTTTTTTCTTTTTCGGACCATTCTCTGTAAACCCTAGAGATGGTTGTGCGTGAAAATCCCAGTAGATTAGCAGTTTCTGAAATACTCAGACCAGCCCTTCTGGCACCAACAATCATGCCACGTTCAAAGTCACTCAAATCACCTTTCTTCCCCATACTGATGCTCGGTTTGAACTGCAGGAGATTGTCTTGACCATGTCTACATGCCTAAATGCACTGAGTTGCCGCCATGTGATTGGCTGCTTAGAAATTAAGTGTTAACGAGCAGTTGGACAGGTGTACCTAATAAAGTGGCCGGTGAGTGTATATATATATATTTAGTATAATGTTTCTTTCAAAATATATATTTTGTTATTGTAGTTTACCTTGGGGAAGGCATTTGTGGTAGAAACACTTTGTGAGTCTGCAGGCCATTATTTGCACACTTATTTCTTTCTAATGGATATTCTTTTTACATTGATAAGAGGTTTAAAGGATTAGTACACTTCAAAATGAAAATTCTGGTGTTCAAGGTGTTCCAAATCTGTATAAATGTATCTCTTCAGCTGAGCTCAAAAGAAGATATTTTGATGAATGTCGGTAACCAGACAGTTGATGGTAGCCATTGTAGAAAAAATACCATGGAAGTCAATGGGGCACAAAAACTGTTTGGTTACCGAGACTCTTCAAAGTGTCTTCTTTTGTGTTTAGCAGAAGAATGAAATTCATACAGGTTAGAAACAACTTAAGTGGGAGTAAATGATGACAGAATTTTCCTTTGGAAGTGAACTAATCCTTTAATGACTGCCAGTTTTTTGAAGGTTCTTGTGACATGTCCAATAAACACTAATTAATAATAATACTAATTAATAATACTTCGAAAATATTTTGCAACTATAGCTGTTATTTTATTACAACCTTGTCAGTTCTATTACAAATTATTTCAATCCCAAAATAATCAGTCACAATTCCACAAAACACACAAATGCTAAACAACAACCTTTAAAGTTCTACCAATTGTTACAAGAGAATGTGAATGTCATAGACAGAAGTCATGAGACTGATTCAAACAGATTTCTAATTAGATATTTTTTATCACTTTGGCCGATTTATTAAAAAGAACTGGTCGTTCTGTATGTGGGATGTTGGTTGTATTATGGTCTTTGCATTATTTCATGGCATATAATATATGTATATATATATATATCATCGCATTCACTTCAGTCTGTAACCTCATACTGTAAATGCAGATTCAGTCTGCATTGGTGTATTTTACTTCACTTCACAGAAGAATGAAGACCTTCGAGAGCCATTAGAACATCATGAATATCTTTCAATATCTTTGATATTGTTGTGATATCTCAAAGAAGAGGAAGCACTCTACCGTAAAATCTTCACATCAATATATCATGAAGATGTAAGCAGTGATATGTGCTTAGAAATATTTATTTCATTATAGTAAAAGTTTCTGAGAAAACGGTTCTTCCAGCGCCTCTGCACTAAACCAAAATTCTTTTATCATTTGCCTCTGTATAGCTTCTTCTTCTTTCTTTCCTTTACATTTCCGTCCTGAATGAATGCAGCATTTGGAGTCACACAATGCTCATATTAAAATCTATTTCAAGTTCAGTACAGGATGCAGTCCTGAGAGCTGAAGAAACATGGCTAAAATGACATGGATGGAGCCTTTGATACAATCTTTTTTAAATTTCATTAGAGCATCCACTGAAGATCAGCTCTTTGTCCACTCAGTCCTCTGAGTGACTGTAAATGCACACAAAAAGAGAGTGAGTGAAGACTCACTGCATGAAAATAGGTGTATCCGGACCAGTATACTCCTGTATACACTGCTGAAATTCGGAAGAATCCAGGAGTATAGTGGCCGGATATGTCAAATTCCATGGGTTTGTATATATCCGCATACATCCGGAATGATACCAAATCGGATGTATGTTGTGGACGTATACTTCCGTGCTAGAGCCATTTGTTGCCATGGCAAGTAATCCCATTAAAGTTTTTAGCAGGAAAAAAAATCACACCTTTTTGCAGGAAACATTCACACCTTTTTGCCTTCCAACCAAACTGGATTGGTTGTTCTTTTAAAGCCACTCCCAACACCCAGACCACTATTGGAGGGCAGGACACATTGAAAACCCAGTAAACGGACTTTATTGGTTACTTTTAAACATAGCCCACCCTAGGCCTTGTAGCATACTGATTTGATTGGTTATATACCAGCTATGCAGATATTGCTCAAATATATACCAAACCTCCCTCCCCCAATTTTAATATATTCATTAAAATAAATTTGATATATATATATATATATATATATATATATATATATATATATATATATATTTATATTTATATTTAAACACACAAAGAACAATGGGAAAGTCTGAAATTTTTATTAAGGTATATAACACATTCCAAATAGCATTATAAACAAGCATTACAGAGGAATTGGGAACAAAAACTAGAAAAAAAAAGTATGAAGTAATAACATCTCAAAGGAAGAAAAAAAAATCATGGACATTCCAAAGAAAATTATAAACATACATTAAATAAATTGTTAACTTTTTATTTTCGTTAATTTTTTTTTACCCAATCATTTTAAAGGACAGATGTAAAGGAATAAAGTACACAGTGTATATAAAAAGTTACATATATATATATATATATATATAAAATATATGAAGAGTTCCATTTGAAATTTTCTCCTTTAATGATGATTTTTATCAAACTTGTATATTTAAGTTCAGTAATTTCTCTTAAATGGCAATGATAATTGCCTATCAATTGTTATTTAAGTGAAATTACTAAACTTAAATATACAAGTTTGATAAAAATCATCATTAAAGGAGAAAATTTCAAATGGCATTTAGAGGCTTTTGCATCTGAACTCTTCATATATATATATATATATATATATATATATATACGTAGATATTCCAAGTAAACAATATAAATAAATAGAACATTACAGAGAGTGCATTATAAACATACATTAAAATGCAAACAAGTAAACAAAATGGAGATAAGCAACATGGACAACAAAAAAAGGAACAAATATATGAAATAATACGAGAAAAATAAATAAGAAATTAAAGTGTATATAAAATATTCAAGGTGTACACTGCCGTTTATAAGTCTGGGATCAGTAAGAAGTCTCATATGCTCGCCAAGGCTGCTTTTTTTTATATATATAAAAAATACAAAAAAAGTAAGAGTAATATTGTTAAATATTATAACAATTCATTCAAATATTCATTCATCAAATATTCATTATTATTACCAAAGTTGAAAACAGTTGTAGACTTTTTAGGATTATTTGATCAATAGAAAGTTATATTTCATTTATTTGAAATATGATGTTTTGTAACATTATAAATGTCTTTACTGTCACATTTGATTCATTTAATGCATCCTTGCTGAATAAAAGTATTGAGTTAATTTGAGCTATCCCCCCCAAACCAAAAAAAAAAATATCTTACCGACCCCCAAACTTTTGAACGGTTATATATATATATATATATATTTTTTTTTTATACACGAGTTAACATTTTTCAAACTGCCATGATACGCTGGTGTGACGCATAGTGTGGGTCAGCCTCTAGTCTGTTTTATAGTACCTAGCAGAGAGCAGATTGGTGGAGACCTCACCATTCACACTGGCCTTCCATCAACAATAGCATCATCTTCATCAGACATCAGTTCTATTGTTGCGGTCTTCCAAAGTTCCTTTTCTGTGTTGGTTTGTACAACCCCGGACCTGGTCTCCAGCAACTGAAAAACATGACAGTAACTTAACCACTAAAACACAGAGAGGAGGATAGTTACATTCTGAAGAGAAAAAAAAGTGCTTAACCAGTTTCTTAACTTACCAGTCGCTTTCTTTGAAGGTTCTTTGCAATGCTCGTCATAGTTTTTCTTTTCTGGGCCTTTTCAGGCTGAGCCAAAGAATACTTCCTCCGCAAAGTCTCAAAATACATCTTCCAACCTGCTAAATATATCATAAATAAATGTAATGGCAATAAAAATAAGTAAAACAGAGGACAATAAAATGATAACAACATCTTTAAGATTACCTTTCACACATTCAGGGTCAACGTCTGTAAAAGTTGACCTTAATTCTTCGAAGAGGTAAGTGGTCACAGCCAGGTTATGTGATGAATTTATTCTGGGGGGGAAAGTTGCAGGTATCATTACTGAAATTCACTTTTGGCATTCCAAATCCATAGAGTAGTAGATTAAACTAACATTTAGGCTATAGTATATAAGAAACAGTCTTACCTGGTTTGTGGAACGTATTTGTGTGGGTTGTTCTCTGAATTATGGAGGCGCCTTACAGATTCCTGTAAAGTTTGAAATTAAAAAGCGATTAAATTGATTCACAATCTTCAAGAACCACAAAACTGAATTTTCAGTTGGAATAAGCTGAACATCACAGTAACCGCAAGAGACAAAACAATAATTGTAACCGAACTATGGCTTACAGCCACGTTATAGAACAATAATTGGACTTACCGCAATGTTCACGTCATGTGCCTTTTTTATTCTTTTCGAAGCGTTGTAAGATTCTTCATGTAACGTTAGTCTGTGCTGCTCATACTTTCGCTAAAGAGCATCAAGACGCTGGAGAGTCTCTCTGAGAAGATCAGGTTGTGGCCAAAGACAGATTGATCCTCCCATTGTGATTCTGCATCACAGCTGTGGGGCATGTGGATGTGATCATCCTCATAGTTATCCACTGCATTACTGACTCTCATTGATGCATCTATGGAAATATTATAACCATAAACATTTTTTACATTAGTAGGTACTTAAAATAGATCATGGAGAATTCATTGATGATGGCACCCATAGTTACACAGAACAGTGTGTGAGAAAGATACATTAATTAAAAACGAAACAATACACAATCTCCTAACTCGCCATAAGTCAATATCTGAATGAGAGATGTAGCTAGCTGGCCTGCTAGCATCAGCAATCTCTGTATAGACCATTTCACAAGATGTAAACAACACTGGTCCAGAAGCACTTCCTGTTTCAGTTTTAACACTGTATAAACGTTGGGTTAAAGTACAACCAACAGAACAACTGAATCAAAAAGTTAAACAAACATATTCAAGATATTTTCTTTACATTTGAAATTAAGAAGCCTTTTACAAACTGAAACAGGAAGTGCATCTGGACCAGTGTTGTTTACATCTCGTAATGTGCAATAGCAGTAATGTGAGCTATTGTAAGACTAATGTAAGTTACCATACTATCTTGTACTACCGTGAATATTCATTCATTCATTCTTTCAGACTCTTAGGTCAATATCACAAAGTTAAATAAATAACATGTATATGTGGGCAATGGTAATCATGCAAGATTCATTGTATTTTGTTTACGGCTTACTGATCTTAAAAGCATTCATAGAACGGACTTCACGAATCTAAAGTTAGGCAAACAAGCACATAACAGTTAGGCAAGTTAGCTTACCTGAATCTGACAATATTCAACACCCGGCGTGACTTCTTTATCGGAACATCGTAGCCGAGCCATTTCTGGGGTGTTCCTCAATCGGATTCCCGTCCTTAGGCCCTGTTAACACGAGAACGCTCGCGGGTGAAAACGTAAAAATATTTTATCGGATGTGCCTTTAGTTTACACGGCGATGGCGTTTTTGAGGCTCAAAAAGCAAAAAAAGTGAAACCACCCTCCAGAGTGGAAATCTTAAATCTTACCCGTGTAAACGGTAAAAACGCAAAAGTTTGCTTGACGGTGAAAGTTGTACGCAGGCGCGTGGACTTGGTGTTGTTGTAGTATGCACTCCTAGCCGCCTGAAGTGCATACTACATTGAATTTCACACACTTTTGCGTCTCCATTTGCACGCGGATTTCTCACACAAAACGCTCGTCTAAACGCAGAATAAAAAAAAAAGATGACGCAACGCCACTTTTGCGTTTTCTCATCAGAATCGTTTCCGTGTTTAGCCTCAGTTGGGCACTTTCAAGCCTATGCTTCCAAATGTAGTGCCTTCCGCCATTGCCTCCGGTGCTCCTCGTCTTTAGGTGGTGGGTGTAGCTAAATCGTAAAGTGCACCACAACAACTTCTGACCGCCTCACATTATGTTCGTTACACCGTTGGTCCAATTGTTCTCTCCTCTTAATCCAACTGTTATGGCAGCACCTAACTGAACATTTAATACTTGACATATTTTACCGTTCGTTTCAACTAGCGCAGAATCTCATCCCTCTCATGAGCCGGAAGTTGAAGTCTTTCTCAGACGGGAGTAAGATGACAAAACGAACGCAATGGCGTCACCCTTGTTGTCGTGCAAAATAAGGTGAATAGAAGAAAACTGTTTCCAAACAAACTGTTCTCTTTGCTTCGGGAAAGAATGCTGTAATTTTAAAGTATTTTTCTCGCGCTTGAAGCAATACAAACGTTATTGGTTGCACCTCCATTACGTCACCACATTTTTTGTGTTTATGGTTGTGAGTGGTGAATTTCAAACCTCAAAACGCCCCCTTTTCTTGCAGCTTTTTTGTTTGCGGAAGAACTTATTCACTCAAACCACAAACCTCGGTATGACGCGTTGCAAGTGAATCTATTTAATTTTGTGAATAAATATGATGCAGCTGGACTTACCTTTCAACATGGAAGGATAACCAGCTGCTGACAATAACACGGGAAAGCCCGGTGGTTTTGCGACCACTCGTTTCACATCATGCATGCCCAAAGAAGCATGGATTAACTCTGCCAAAACCGTGATGTCATTGTCCATCTCAGTTCAGATCTCATATAATGGTGTCAATGCAGGCAGTTCAATAACATTGTTGAATATTAAATAAAAATGTCCCCAACTAAGCAAAGCCAATGGCGACAAATGTTGTTGTCTGCAATTTGTAAAACTTCACAATAAAAATTTTGATATTCTGAAATGTTTCCCTGTATTTTTTATTTCATTAAATATTCAGATGTTTTTGTGAACGTATATTCATGGTGTTTATTTTGTCCTGTTTTTATAAAAGAATATTTGATTAGGATACTTTTTTTCATACAGTGGTTTTAAGGCCCTGACACAGGCGACATAAGCCAACCCTAGAGTTGGCTTTAGTCATTGCTAGTTCTTTGACGTCGGTTTTCTGTTTCAGGGCCTTAAGAATTTATTTATTTTTCTGTACAAAAAACTTGTTTCCTGTAGACCAGATAATTTTCAATCCTGAAGTCCCCTGCCACTCCTCCCTCTGAGAACAGCCAGCACCCTTAGTGTCAGTCATTAACATATGAAAGGTCTTCTTCACACCTCTCACACCCAGCAGTGTTTCAGCTGTATATGTCCGTGAAATTTCACGGATTCCTGTATATGCCCGCTTAGGTGAGGTTTCCGGGTTTGTCTGGAAATATACTGTTCCGTGTTACTCTGATCCGCTTTTTCCCACATACATCCAGCAAACATCAAATTGCACAGGAGTTTACCATGCCCGGATATTGCCGGATTTGAGTCTTTTCATGCAGTGACTCTTACTAGGTAACAATATCACAGCAGGTTGTCTTCTACCTCATTTGTCAAGCAAAGTTCATACAGGCCTAACAAAAACCGCTCTAATTGCCATGATGAATTTATTTCACCACACTCGAGCTCTTGACCAATAGACAAGAGCTAGAAAGGGCAGCTCACTCTCCCTTTTTAAAAATGAATGCCGCCATGCTTGCAACAATCTGCTTTTAGGGATACTATGTGATGAAAGTGCTTTACCAAATGTCATCTGACCTTTCATTACGACACCATTCTTAATTGCATTTAGAATAATTACACCACATAATCACTTTCATTGAGCTGGTGAAAGCTATAATTAGAGCCTGTAATGAGACGGTGAATAAAACAGTGGAATCCATACAAACCTGGTTGTGATTATTAGGATGTGTGTGTGTGTGTGCATATGTGCATGCGTGCTTATCAATGGCCTTTAATTTTTTCAGAGTAAATCACCTTTATTTATATAGTGCTTTTTACAATATAGATTGTATCAAAGCAGCTTCACAGTGATAACATGAAAATAATACCATTTTTTTTTTCTAGAAGAAAAGTGCATCATCTTCCACCTGAAACAAGGCAGATCAATAATATTGTTGAATATTAAATGTATCCATACAAGTAAGCCAAAAGCCAAGGCAACAGTGACAAGGAACTAAAATTCCATCAGGTGACAGAATGGAGAAAAAAACAACAACATGGCAAACCAGGCTCAGTCGGGGGCCAGTTCTCCTCTGACCAACAAACGAAAAGTGTATGATTATGATTCAGGCAACATTACAAGTCAGAAGTCAGATTGGATCAGAATATTCACAATATTTATCCAGTTTCATCTAGTTGGAGGTCGGAGTCATCACGGCGGAATGGCGATGAGTTTGTTGAGGTGTCCATGAGGCTCTCACAGGGCTAATGAGGCTGGCAATTCAGGGATGCATTGTGGTCGTGTCCCGGCGTAGGTTCACCGTGTGATCTGGATACAGCCTGGATCCGGCTTACTTCAGTAAACATTGGAAAAAATGGAAATACTTACATTAGCGTGGATGCCATTCTTCTTATGTTGTAATGATTACATTGGGTAGTGTTCCTGGTTCCGGCTGACCTAATTTATGCAGCCTAATAATCATTTAAATGATTTGAATAATAGTATAATAATGTATAATGTTCTAACCCATGTGAATGCCAGGTAAAAGAGATGTGTTTTTAGATGTGCTCGGTATCCTTAATCTACTTGTTCTCAGTAAAACTATCAATGCTTGGTTAGTTTTAATTGCTATCATTGTACCATTGGGGAATTTTGCGCCATTGTTGCTCACGAGTTAAGGATGCACCTTACCTTCGTCAGGGAATGTTTAAGGAAGAATTTGCCTCATTGCAGATAGACTTGGACTCCTGGAAGAGGATGTTCGGCTGATAAGAAACAACTTTGACAACATGCAGGCAGGTCTTTGTGACACAAAAAAGACACCGTGGAGGAGAAGCTAGCAGTTGACTCTCTTCAGGAAAAGTTGGCGAGAATCGAAGACAAAAGCCGCCAGTCCAATGTACGTCCAGTGGGACTTAAAGAGGGTGTAGAAGGAGATGACCCTCTGCGATTTATACAGAATAACCTCCCTAAATGGATTCCCTCTCTTGCTGGCAAGGTACTGGAGATTGAATGAGATCACCGGATCTACAGCGGGGAATGTGCAAAATCTACCCCTCGTACGTTCATCTTTAAGATGCTGTGCTATCAAGATCGGAATGCAATCCTGAATGGAGCCTGTGCTGCTGGACGATTTCTCCAGAATGGATCTCCACTGCTTTTCTTCCCTGCCTACAGCACTCACACTGCGTCTAAGAGGAGATTGATGGAATAGGCGAGGATGAAGCTAACCCAGTTGGGAATTACGTCTTTTTTGTTCAATCCCGCGGAAGTGAATGTTACTCACTGAAGGAAGATTTCACTTTTTGAGACAGCGACAGAGGTTGAAAAGTTCGTCCTCAATCAGGATCCCATTGCAAAATCTTCTCTGAAGGGAGCTGAGGCGGTCATGTCATGAGAGTCCGGAGTGAATGAGCATGAATCTGCAGTTCCCATGGAAGACCTTACTGAAACATTGGCCCCTTATTTATCAAAAGTGCGTACACCAAATTTCCAGCGTACACCTGGCGTACACCCAAAACCACAGTGACTTTGAGATTTATCAATATGGACGTTGGTGTAAGGCACGCTCAAATCCTACACCAGCTCAGGAGGTGGTGTACACACGTTTGGAGTTAGTGCGGAAATGCGCAGAAAAATTCCTAACACCACAAAACGCACTGGCAAACTAAAATATATGATATATTATGACCCTGTGTAAAAAACAACAACATAGTAATTATAAACTTCAGTATTTATTTTTGTGCAACATGGACTTCAATGTTTAATTTGTGAGACTTTATCAAGGCATTTGATTTGTAAGCATTCCTTCAGTTGTAAGCCTGTGGACTTTACCCTGCCGTTTCAGGTGCGCACGGACTGGGTTCCGTAATGAAAGGCTTTCAATGACCAAAAAATAATTCAGACTGACAAAATAATAAAAAATACATTCCTTTTCTTTTACATATAATTATAATACAAATAATAATAATAACAACATTCTTCTTCTAAATAACAAGCGCCATTAATAATACAAATCATAATAATAAGAAGAAGAATATTGAAAATTGTCATGCAATTATTAATGTGAATGAATGGTACTCCACATCACATCATCATCATCACTATGTACACCCCAATACATGTGAAGTGATTCTAAATTGAATGCTAATTCAAAAGAAAGACGTGTTGTAAAATAATGCATTGTGATAGGTCATTTTGGCATCACGTCAGAGAAGTTTCTCTTCTTTGCCGTCTTCCGTGTGTCCATGGCGTAAAATGAGGGCGTGGGGGGAGCGGATACTTGAATATTTAGGGACGTGTTATTCTGATGACGATCGTTTTCGACCGCGGGATTTATCAAGGGCAGGCATTGCGTACACCTGGATTTCAAAGGTACGCACAGTTTCATAAATCAGGTGGTGAGAGGAGTGTAAGCATAATCTTACACCAACATATACACTACTAGGGGTGGCACGGTACATGAAAAAACACCCGAACCGTTCGGTTCGCTTGTCAAGTCAAGTCAAGTCACATTTATTTATATAGCGCTTTTCACAATACAGATTGTATCAAAGCAGCTTCACACTGATAACATGAAAGTAGCACAACACAGGATCAACAACATTGCTAAACACTAAATAATCCCAACTGAGCAAGCTCAAAGCAAGCCAAAAGCAAGGCGACAGTGGCAAGGAACCAAACTCCATCAGATTGGATGGAGAAAAAACCTTGGGAGAACCCAGGCTCAGTCGGGGGCCAGTTCTCCTCTGGCTTACATTCATATTGTTTAAATACAAATATTAAATATAAATATTGTTTATGAATAAAACGGCGCCATAACATATCACAGGCGTTGAGTCGTCTCTTCACAGGCGTTGAGTCGTCTCATCACAGGCGTTGGGGCATCCGAAATCCCCGTGAGAGGCTGGACACAAAACTGGACCTGACGAACGCCATTTTTCTCGGGACAAGCGTCCCGAGATAACAGAAAGGCAGATGGGAAAAAATTAGCATAGCTGATGTTCATAATGATTTCCGTTATAACTCACAAACTCTCCGTAACCTGAACTCTCCGCAACCCAACCATACGCGCCGACCCGTTTGTCTAAAAGGCTGTCGAGCCCCACTGGTGCGTTAAGCAGTTTCAGTGGCAAACGGTTCCGTATGGCATAACAGACGACTTAAAGGTAAGCATTATGTGAATGCTTGACTAAAGAGAAG